GGGACACCCTGCACTGGGACAGACCCCCTACAGCCTCCCATGGCCATAGGGACACCCTGCACTGGGACAGACTCCCCTTCAACCCCTCAGGGCCATAGGGACAGGCCCCTTCCAGTCCCCCATGGCCTTGGGTACAACTTGCATTGGGACAGACCCCCCTTCACCCCCCCATGGCCTCCGGGACACCCTGCACTGGGACAGACCCCCTACAGCCCCCCATGGTCCCTGGTACACCCTGCACTGGGACAGACCCCCCTTCACCTCCCCATGGCCTTGGGGACACCCTGCACTGGGACAGACCCCCTCGAACTCTTCCCCATGCCCTTGGGGACACCCTGCAGGGTGACAGCCACTCCAGTGTCATTGGGAACACCCTGCACTAGGACACCCCCATCCATCCCCCCCACGGCCTCAGGGACACTCTGTGCTGGGACAGCCCCCTTCCAGCCCACCCATGATCACGGGGACAGGCCCCCTCCAGCCCCCTGTGGCTCTGGGAACACACTGCAGTGGGACATCCCCCCTCTGGTCCCCCATGGCCTTGGGGACAATCTGCACAGGGACAGACCGCCCTTGAATCCCCCCCCCCCCCCATCCTTGGGGACATTCTGCAGTGGGACAGCCCCCCTCCAGCCCCCATCATGTCCTTGGGGACACCCCCTCATGGGACTGCCCCCCTCCAGCCCTCTCAATGTCCTTGGGGACAACCCACAGCGGGACAGGCCCCCCTCCAATGTCCTTGGGGACATCCTCTCATGGGACAGCCCTCCTCCAGCCCCCATAGCCTGGGGGACAGCCCCCCTCCAGCCCTCACGCCCTCGGGGACACCAAGGGGTGGTCCCCAAGGGGGTCTGGGGAGCCGGGGCTGCTCCCACCTCTGCTGCGGGCAGGGCAGGGGGGAGCCCAGCCCGCCGGGACAGGGCTCGCTGGAGGACACGACGTGGGGCTTGGTGTAGGATTCCTTCACCGCCGCCGTGAAGCTGCGGGGGGGGGGGGGAAGGTGTGAGGTGAAGAGCAGGTCCTGCGAGGCCCCACCGCTGTCACCATGCCCCCTCCCGGTGCCCCCAGCCCTACCTCTCCCAGTAGCTGCACACGTTGGGGTCGCTGGGGCGGAGGGCAGCCAGGAGGGCGGCGTGCACCGCCAGCACCGCGGCCCGCAGCAGCATCCTGCCCGGAGAGAGAGCACGGCTGCACCCTCTGCCTCCACACATTCCCGCTCCACACCCACCGCCCCCGGCCCCGGCTCTGGATCCGAGATCCGACCTCCCCGCGGGGCTGGCTTCGCATTCCTCCACCCCGAGAAACGGCCCCGGCCCCGCTGCTCCCCCCGTGCCAGGGGGAACCTGAGGCGCGGCCGCTCGGCAGCCTGGGTGGCCCCACGCAGCCTCATCCCAGCATCCCCAGGCACCCCGGGGCGCATCCTGGCATCACCCCAACCTCCCCTGCAGGACCCCATCCCGGGATGCTGCCAGAGGTGGGAGCCCGGGGTGCCGGGGCGGGGTTTGGCACGGCGGCTCCAGCCCCTGGCGCGGCGCCACACGGCCCCACTTCAACCCGTTCTGTGTTTATTCCCAGTTGTGCTTCCTGGATCCAACGGCTTCTTGCTCAACCCAGAGAGGGTCTGGCTTTGCCGGGGCGGCTCCGGGATCGCTGCCAGCCCGGGGGGCCCGGCTGGGAGGGCAAGCGAGCCCCTGAGCCCCCCGTGCTGGGGGTGCTGTTTACCGGGACGCGTGTTACGGGGCTGGGGCTGCCGAGTGCCAGGGAGGAAACAGAGGTTTCCTGGTCCTCACAGCTGGATTCACGGTGGTTTCCTTACTGCTCCGGCCGTAGGACACCCCAAAGGTGCTGCCCCGGCAGCCCCCTGAGTTCATCCTCCCCCTCACCGGAGCCCACGCTGCGTTTTGGGGCCAGAGCATCCGGTTTTGGGTGGAAAAACGGTTTAGTGGGAAAGTTTCCCCCATTTCCCTTCGGCTCCCGGCAGTGAGGAATTAATTGCTCATCCGCTGCCAAAATTCTCTCCCCTGGACCCTGGCAGGGGGGGAGAGCCATGGGAACCCCAAGCCCTCCCAGTGGCCCCACTGCCAGCCTCATCCTCTGCTCCAGCAATGGGGGGTGGGGGGTCCCAGAACTGCCGGGAACAACAGGAACCACTGGGAGATACTGGCAGGAAAAGTGAGGAATCATCAAAACATGCTGGCGGGCCCCATCTGCTCCTCACTGGGGAGCCCAGCCGCGGGAAAGAGCCGCGGGAAAGAGTGGCGAGAGACCCCCCCTCAAGACCTGACACTTCCCTCCCCACGGCTGTCCCTGGGCACCTCCCGGGTGGGATGAGGAGCATCAGCCGCTGGTGATGGGGGTGGAGGGGGCATGTGGGGTGAGGGCAGGGGACCAGGGACCAGCCCTGCCCTGTCCCCGCAGGGGACACTGCACTGGGCTCCCCCCAGCCGTTATCTCTTCCTCCACCACAGCCCGGGGGGTGACGCGTTTCCTCCGGGACCGCGGACCCGCAGGGATGGGGCTGGGTGAGGGTGAGGGGGGCAGGGGGTGAGTCAGGGACATGGGCAGGGACAGGGGCAGGGGCAGCACTGGGGTCACCAGAGGGTGTCGCAGCACTGTCCCACTCCCTGTCTGCCGCCATCCCCTCACCGCCGTCCCCCCCCTGCATCCCCTCACCTTGGAACCTGCACCATTCCCAAGCCCCCCCCCCGGTGCTGGGGGCTGTTCCCGCTCCGGCAGCACCTCAGGGCACGGCGCAACCCCCCCCAGCCCCACCCCCGGCCCCCAGGGTGCCCCAGGCTGGGCACGGCGGCACTCACCTGGCCGGGGGCCGCGGGGACGCGGGGTGGGGGTGCAGTGGCCCCACGCGGGGCTGGCCTGGCCGGTGGGCTCGGCCGGCCGGGATGGCGCAGCACGGCCGTCGGAAGCGGAGGGAGGGCCCGGAGCTGCTCTCAGGAAGTTTGGACGTGGAGACTACTACGGAAAAGGGAAAAAAATAAAAAACCCTAATTATTTTTTTCTTTTCTTTTTTTTTTTTCTCTTGTCTGTCCAGGAACCAGCAGGGTTTTGGCACAGCAGCATCCCCGGGGCTGCTCACACACAGCACTGGGTGGGGACAGAGTCCATGGGGACGTCCCGGCGCGACCCCTCAGCTGCAGGGTGTCCCTGTCCCGAGGGCTCTGTGGCACCCGTGGGTGCAGGTCCTGACCTGGGGTGTCCCACAGGGCTGGGGCAGGTGAAGGGACCCCCCAGCCAAGGGGAGGGGCCGGGGGGACCGGGGTGTCCTTCAGCTTCAAGGCACAGGCTGATGGTTGGGAAGCAGAGCCCAGGCTGGTGCCCAATGTCCTGGGCACAGCATCCCTGCATCCCAACATCTTGGGCACAGCATCCCTGCATCCCAACATCTTGGGCACAGCATCCCTGCATCCCAGGGATACATCATCCCTTGCATCCCAGCATCCTGGGTACATTATCCCTGCATCCCAGGGACACAGTCATGCCTGCATCCCAGCATCCTGGGCATATCATCCCTTTATCTCAACATCCTTGGCACATCATCCCTGCATCACAGAGACACATTGTCCCTGCATCCTAACATCCCGGGCACAGCATCCCTGCATCCTGGGTACATATCATCCCTGCTTCCTTGGATTCCAGAAAGACATCCTTCCTGCATCCCAGGCACATGTCGTTCCTGCACAACGTTCCAGGCACGTCATTCCTGCATCTCAGGTAAATCACCCCTGCATTCCAGGGACACATCATTCCTGTATCCTGGGCACACACCGTACTTGCATCCTGAAATCTCAGGTACACACTGTCCCCACATTCCGGGCACACACTGTCCCGGCATCCTGGGCACACATGATCCCCACATCCCAGGATCCCGGGCACACGTGACCCCTGCATGTCAGACACCCCAGCCTTACATTGCAGGATCCTGGCCACGTGTTTCCCCTACATCCCGGGATCCTCAGCCATCCGTCACCTCTGCATCCCTGGATCCTGACTATATATCACAATTATATCCCGGGCTCCTGACCATATACCTGCATCCCGGGACCCCCATCCACGTGTCGCCCCCATCCCGGGACCCCTGGCCGGGCAGCTCAGCCCCACGTGTCCCCCTGCCCAGCCGCCCCCCGCCCCCCGCCCCCATTAGCGGCCCGCGCTGCTCCCGAGGCGCCGTTAATTGCTCTGCTCGTTACAGGAACAGCTCTAATCACTCACAACGATTTTCACGTCCCAGGGCGGCTCAGCTGCCCACCCCCCTCCCTTACCGCCCCCCCTGCCTTGCCCACCCCCGGCTCTCCATTAGGATCGAGCCCCCGCAGCTGAGGCTCCGCTGTGGCCACCCCAAAACGGCGCTTCCTGGAGCAGGGTTGGGCACCGAGGGGTCCCGGGCTGGGGGCATCCGGAGCTGGGGACCTGGCGTGGAACTGACCCCCCCCCCCCCGCCCCGCGCCAGTGCTTTTTAAGGTGTCCCCAGGGCGGTGTGGAAGTATTGCTCGGGGACACTTCAGTGCCACTTCAGTGCCGAGATGCCTTTGCAGCCCCCCCGAGAGCCCCCGGAGCCGGAGAGGACGGAGACCCCCAAGTGCACTTCGGTGTGGTTGGGGGCTGTGCGGGGTCCATCCCTTGCAGGGCCAGGACACAGCTGCATCCACAACTCCGATGTCCTCCCATCCATCCACCCCATCCGGGGGGGAGGAACCCCAAAACACGTCTGGTCCCTTTAGAGGGGACCTGGGGTCGCTTTAGTAGCTTCGGGGGGGTGGGACCTCCCCCAAAGAGCAGATCCAGCCCTGCCACGGTCGGAGCCCGCGGCATCGGGAGCAGGAGGGTGGCTCAGCCGGGATGGGACCCTCTGGGCAGGATGAGGCCGGGGACCACCCAGCCGGGCTGCAAGAGGCAGAATCGGGGCCGAGACCCCCCAGGTCTGAGGAACCCGGGTTAGCGGGGCCAGGCAGCGGTGCCGCTGGGGCGGCAGCTCCGCCAGGGAGCGGAGCCGTTAATTACCTCATTGCCAGAGTCCATTACCGCTCCCCCCGGAGCAGTGAAATGGAGAAACTGCTGCAGGAGGGAGAGAGGGGAGGATCCGATCGATCGCGAGGGGAGCCTTAACTCTTCCCTGACCACCCTAAGGGGGAAACTGAGGCACAGCCACCCCCACGGGGGAAACCAAGGCATCGCCACCCCAGGAGGGAAACTGAGGCACAGCTGCAGGGGAGCCCTCCCTGTTTTGGGAGGGGGAGGATGTCACCACCGCACACGGTCCCTTTTGGGGCGTTGGTCTGTGGCAATCTCCAACACGGAGCTGGAAAAGCTCAAGGTTGTAATCTAGTTCCTTCCTCAAATTAGATAAGAGGGAAAAAGGCCATAAATCAACGTGGGCAGCAATTAGAGACCCCAAAGAAGCAGATGGGGGGCTCTGCCAGCCCAGCTGAGCTCCAGCAGGACCAGACCCTGCCTGTGCCAGCTCCCCACGTCCCGGGGCTGGACCCTTGACAAAGATCCAGGGCCTGACAGAGGGACCTGAGCCCTGGGCTGGGGGCTGGATCCGGCCCCACTGCAGGGTTTCGGGATGGATTACAGGCTGGGAGCTGTGGGGTGCTGGGGTTGGCTCTGATTTCCTCCAGTTCTTGTTGTGCCACATCCAGCCCCGGCCACCCTGCACAGCCACATGCCCTGTTGGCCCCAAGCCCCCTGGTACTTGCCACAGATCCCTCCCCACCTGCTCCCACCTTGTGCCGTGCCTCAGTTTCCCCCACAACCCCACTTTCCTCCTGCTTATCTCGGGTCATGGGGGGTAACAAAGGAGCTGCCAGGGCCCTGCCTGTGCTGCCTAATTATCCAGATGAAATCAATTTAGCTCCATTATGGTCAAATCCAGGTCTCAACCATTACCAAGGCGGCTGGAGAGCCCGAGGAAGGATGATGGAGTGGACGCTACAGGGCATGTGATAACCCCTGGTTCTGATGAGAGGGCACAGGGAAGGGGGGATGACGCCCTTGGGTGGGGGGTGTTGACTCTGTGCTGTGAAGTCCCATCCTCCCCCTGGACCCCTTGGCGAGGGGACTCAGGTGCCCCAGGCCAGGGTATGGCACCAGCACCCCTGGGGCACTGCCCAAGGTGGTCCCTGTGGCGCAGCCAAAAAAATCCCCCTCTGGGCCGAGGATGAGGACATCATCCCTGCATCCCAGGCACACATCATCCCTGCATCCCAGCTTCCTGGGTACACATCCCTGCATCCCAGG